GAACTCAGGTGTATATTCACGATTATTTTGTTTAATTTTTTTAATTATAGCTTTTTCAATGTTTTTATCTGATATTTTTCTTTTTTTTCTAATAGACGATCTAATTTTGGAAGTATATTTACTTTTAGATCTTTTAAAATGGTTGAGTTTAATCATTAACGATTTTGTTCTATGAGTTAATCTAAGTATTTTTTTTTTTAATTTTGAATTTTCAGCTTTTAATAGTTTAAGTTTTTCTTGAAAATTGAAACTAGATTTTCCATGACTCGCGAATAACAACTCTGTGGCTTTTTCTTGTAAATACGGAGATAAGATTTTTCCTTTATTTGGTCCATCTTTATATATCATATTATTAAATAACTGAGAGCAAGTTATTAATTCCTTTTCTGATAAGTAGTTAAGTTTTGTTACTAGGTCTTTTTTTATTTTTTCTACTTTCGAGATGGCCGATTGCGAAGTTGATGTTTGTTGCTGGTTAACTAAATTTTCAGATTTATTTAGATCGATTGAATTGTTTTCAATCGTAACTGGTTGAAAATTTCCACGTCGATAAATATAAAAATTACATATAGAAATTTGGCATCGATTAGATTGATCAATTGGGGATGATAGATTATAAGGTTTGGAATTTTTGGTGAAACGTGCTTTTTTACAATGTTTACGAGTTTTAGATAGGCGTCACATTTTAATTTTTAACTTTTAATTTTTGGAATCAAAAAAAAAAGAAAAAAATAATATTTTTATAATAAATCTATATTACAAAATTGCCTTTGTAATTAATTAAACAAATATCATAACGAACAATTACACTATTTAATTTATTACTATATATCTCTTTGATACATTACTTCGATACATCATTATAATACATTGTTTTGATACATCATTTTTTGATACATCATTTTGATACATCGTTTTGATCAATATTATAATAAATTTTAATTTAAGGTATAAACAAAGACTAATATTATATTTGTAAATATCCCTGCATTTAATTATTATATTTTATCTTAACGAAAATAAACAATTACTTGCAATATATAATAATTTATTAAACTTTCAATCGCTAAAACTTTAAAAAGAACTTATAAAAAAAATTATCTAATCGAGAATTATATATAGAATGCTAATTTAGAGCGAGTATACTTATTTTAATATAGTATATATGATAAAAGGTTTTTTTAATATTTTAACAAAGATTTTTATGAATCGGCCTCCTCAAAGTGCGTAGCCACAGCCGCAACTGATAACTTTCCAATCATATTGTGTTGTATAAACAATAATCGATTAATAGCTTTAAGGCTTGTCATCGATTGACTATTATTATGCTGCAGTTGCGCCATTTATCCGCATTCTGGGG